TATATATACGTATTAGTCCTGTTATTATTTCATTTATGCCTAAATTCTAAACAAAATTGTAAGGTTCGTAATATTCTCGTGAGATTTATAAGAACATATTCTCGTGAGATTTATAAGAATTTTGAAGTGTTTATATCTCATACGATATTTTTACAGACAGCTTTTTACTAGCCATAAGATTAATAAGAAATCGTAAATATTTACGAATAATCTTACGATATATACATAAAATTAGAATACTGGTTATAAGTTCTTACGAGTTTTACGAAAACAAGTTATGAATTTTACGATTCTGCTTAGAATTGACATATTAATTTCTTCTATGAATAAAAATTAAAAATAATTTTATTCCAAATCCATTCTTTTATAATAGAATTATTGCATAAGATTGAATCTTTAAAAAATAAATATTTGAAAAATTGTTGCATTTAAAAATACATTGAATTGTTAGAAAATATATATTTAACAACTATATTTAATATGTTTGTGTGACGCTGATGTTACCTTGTATACAAGACTCGCTCATCAAGTCGGTGTGTAATAATGACGACTCTCTTTATTGTAATAATTTAAACTTTATTCGTTAGTCGGAATTAAGATTTATTCGAAGCGAGCAATGCTCATAATCCGATGACTGATGCATACGATTAGACACGTGCATGTATAACTTGGTATAACTTTAAATATCTTCTCGCAGCCATTAGAATTCGTATTGCGAGCAGCAACGAGACCGGAAAATCTCGGAAACTCAATTCTCGCGCACTGAATGTCCTCGCGTAACATTACGTAACAAACTATTGCGTTGAAACAGCGGTATGATTCGCTCTGAATATTCGGGATAAGATCTCTTAAGCGCGAGTATCGATAGATGATCCATATTGATCGGGATCGGGAAGCGAATTTAAGATTCGCACGCGGAACGATCATCAATTTTTCGAGTGTCGCGCAAGGGGGTCGCCATCTCACATAAACAGCATGATTAGAACAGGAGCGAGATACACGCACGTTTTGAATGAAATATTGGTCGCAGGCATGATTGAACAGGGACTCAGTATCTATAAGCTGTTTATTTACCATCCCCGTGAATACATTGAAAATTAACGATGATTTCGGAACATATATATATATATATA